TGAGCTGACCCTACGCGGCTGGCATATGACCGAGGAAAATCGGCGGCGCACGCTGCAACGCATGCACCTGGCGCAGGCCATGATTAAATGCGAGATGTTCGATTTCCTGATCGACATCGTGCCGCGAGACCAAGCAGTACCGGCCGTCAGACGGGGCAAGGCCAATTGGGCGGACGCAGCAACGGAGGCGGAAGAAGCCGTGAGTGGTCCTGTCGGCGTCGTTCAAAGTGGCAATGGTCAAAGGGAAGCTGTTCGAGAGGTTGCTAAGCATTCTGATGTTCAAACTGGTGACGCGACAGCCCTGTCTGACAAGTCAGTTCGTGATCCAGCACGAGTTGCCGTCGAAAGAGATGCGGCGGTTGCCGAGGAAAAGAGAGAAGATCCATTGGTAGTGGCTCTCCTCCACACCGCCGGGCGTTCTGAGGTTGCCAGTCAGTCCATAACAAGAGCAAGCGGTGGGACTGACGGTCCATCACTGACCACGTAGCTCGGTCCCTCTTGTGGTATGGTTCAGGGGGCGGATACGTCAGAATTTAACGCAAGAAGACAGCTATCAGGAGCAGCAGCAGAAGTTGTCTCCAAAGGAAGCGCAACGTGTCGAGCCTCAGCGTCAGCATCTGGAGGGCAATGAGTACAGGTAATAATTACACGCTAAACATTTATAAGCCCACGTATGAAGAGGAGGGGCGAACCCTTTACGTGCTTCACCGGCTTTATTCGTGCGAGATGATGCACGAGGTAAATACAAAATTATGAGTGGCATCATTACGGTGATACTATAAATTAAGGACAACGTGATCTTTTCTATCGCTTGTGTTGCCACCCTCCACCACTGGTTCAGCCCTCTTGTGCAATAGAGGAGCGTACTTTACATATTACATTCCCACATGGACTTTCATACAGAGAATGACATGAGCTTCGAGCAGAGAGGTGAGAGGGTGAGCGCATGACACCAAGGGAGTGGAGAAAGGGAGCAAGAATCGTGTAGTAGGAATGGGAGCGTCGCCGCCAATAACTGTGGTCACATCCAGCACTAGAAAGTGCTGGCTGTTGAAGTTTATGCTCGATGGACCCGAGGAGAATCGAAATGGGTAACAGAAAGTGAATCATATGCTGGCGATTGAGACCAGGGTGCTTGAAAGTGGACTTAACCGCTTCTTAGGCTACCCTGAGATACGGACAGATGCTCAGCGGGCATCTTCACGATTCGTTAAAGGTGTGAGCGATGAGCCAGTCAAAAAGTGACCTACGAGCATTCTTCCTGGCCGCAATCGTCGGCTACGTTTTTATTTTATTTTATTACAGCCGCCCTGGGTTGAGAGTCATGTCTTCATTATATCGAAGGTATTCCAAATGCTACGTGCTTTTCAACCACTTCCGCTCGCCTACATTTTGCGCTTTTTGGCTCTTCCCCTCGTATATTACTGCTCGGTTGCTCTGACAATAGGACCTGAGCTGTCAGCTCGCTGGAAGCTGGACTCTGTATTACTGAACTAAGAACGATTGCGCGCGATACACTGTCACACACGCTTCCTCTGACATCTCTGGTACTTCATCCTAAATCTTTCTATTCTCTCGAAGGATTCTTCTCCATTTAGAGCTCATCCGAGGCCTTCTTCTTCTTCCTGCGCACAATTTTCTTTTTCCCTTCGGTGCCCGACCCCCCTTCATTTTTGGCCGCTGCCGCCGCCGCCGCTGCTGCTGCTGCTGCTGCTGCCTGTTCTTCTTTAAGGGCCGCTGCAAGCTCCTTCTTCTTCATTCGTTCCTCCTCCAGGATCTCGGCCATCAGGTCATCGATGTCCTCCTCCTCCACCGGCTCGCCCTCTCCCCATCCCCGGCTCCCACTTTCGGTGTAACATCCCTCCGCGTCTTCCGCCTCCACCGTCGGAGTGCTGAGCACCGGGGCAGTCAGGAATTTGCCCGACAAAACCCCGCTCAGGAACTCTCTGATTGCCTCCGCGTTCCACTGGCCTCGGAAAGCCGCGAACCGCCCCTTCTTCGGGCTGTAGACGACGATTGTGGGCAGGGCATGCTCCTGCACGTCGAAACTTTCCTGAGCGAACCCGCGAAAGCAGGTCGCGTCCAACCAAGAGAAGGACCAAGGGGAGACACCCCCCGACAAGGCCGCGGTTTCCGCGTCAGCGACGCGTTGAATCAGCTCCTGGTTTCGCCCTGCCACATGGCCCTCTATGTTGTCTCCATCCTGGCCGGCTGGGAGCCCGTCGAAGAGGCCGATCACGCACAGGGCCCCGCTGCTGGCGCACGCTTTTTCCCAGCTCGCCCTGTCCGTAACGTGAGAGATCGAGTTGGCTTGAGGGACAGCCGCGGCGGCAGGGGCGGCCGATGGGAGGACCGCGTTGACGATGTTCTGCGCGCGGGCCAGATCGACACGCTGCAAGACCTGCACGAAGAAGTTGATGACGCTCATGAATTTCATGGGCCCGAAGAAGACAGGCAGGTAGGTTTCGATGCGCAGATTGTGCTGAGCGGGCTGTTCGGTGGGTGAGGGGTGGGGGGCGGGAGCGACGGGCATGAATCGGCTACTTTTCGTACAAGCAGTCACGGGAGCAGGGTCTTGCGAGGGTACGTACCACACCGTTGTCCTTGTTCCTGTAAGCGTCCATGTCCTGGGGTACCAGCACGTTCACGCTCGGGACGTTGGCCCCATTGAAGCGCGCCATCGTCTCCTGGGAAGGGCTGCTAATGAAGATGAACGACAAGAGGGGCTCTAGTTTCAAGGCCAACGCGCGGAAGAGGGAGGCCGGGTCCTCCTTTTTGCTGAAGACAAGGACGGGGAAGCGGCCGCTGCGGAAGGCCATGTTGATCTCGTTCTCGAGCAGGTACTGGTTCGCGCCGTCTCCCACCCGCTTCAGCACGTCGGGGAGGCTGGCCGCGGCCTCCTGGAAAGCTTCTTCCGCGGTCGCGAAGCGCCTGCTCTCGTCTTCCTTCTCTTCCCCATGCAGGTACGCCTTAAAACGGCCTGTCTCGCCAGCCTCCTTGGCACAGAGGGCGACAGTGTCCTCGGCAGCCGCCGCCGCCCAGCATTCGACAACCCCGCAACGCACAATTCCTTCCGCCTTCCCCGAGTACTGCTCCCAGGCGGCCAGCACGGGGCTCTCCTCCTCTATCTCAGCATCTTGGAACCATACCATCCAGGCGTCGGAGGACTGCAGGACTTCCTCTTTAAAATTTGTCGCGTTCAATGCCAGGATCTCCGGAGGGGGTAATTCGGCGCCCGCCGCGGGGGGCGCCTTCTTGTCCTTGCCCTGTTTACCGCCTTTTTTGGCTTTGCCGCTACCATCATCCTTACCCGTCGCTTCCTCTAATGCGTCCTTGCGGGCGACTAGGTCGATGCGTTGGGCGATGAAGACGAAGACCTTCTGGGCCGCAGTCAGGTCTCCCGGGTATTTGCTGGCGGCCACCAGCTCCATGTCCAGAGACTCCGGCAAGAAGGGATCGACCCCATGCTTGGACTCTAGGACATAGAGTTGGGCCAGGTCCTTGGTGGTGACCCTGAAGGCCTCGAGGATGTCGGTCTCGCTTGGGGGCACCTCAAGGAAGACGAAGTCCTCGCTGTAGCTCAGGGCCAGAGACTTCAGGAGTGTCGGCGTCTTCTCGCGGTCGGTCAAGGTCAACACGACGCCCAACCTCTGGGCAAAAGCATCTCTGAGGGCCTCGGGGTAGGTGGCAGACGAGACGCGAAGCACCTTGTTGGGCAGCTCCTTTTTGAGAAAGTCTCGCAGCATGTTCCGCTGGAGAGAGCCACCCTGCGTGAATGGAAAGTCGACCGGAATGCGACTGTTCTTGCCCGTGTAGGGATTTTTAGCCGGTGGAGATGCGAGGAGACGAAGGGTGGGAGCACGGTGTAAGCCTGCCTCTTTAATGACCTTGGCGGCGCCGTCTTGCTCGATTTCAAACCGACCCACTTGGATGCCGTACGGCTTTACTTCTTTGGCGAACTCGGACAGGATTGGTTTTATTTGTTGGCAGGCATGACAATTCTCTTTGGTGAAGTCTATAAGCCACACCTCCTTCCCATTTAGGATCTCGCGGTACTGCCGCACTGACAAGTCTTGGACAATCCCTCCTTCATCGTCGTCCTCGTCTTCCTCGGCAAATGCCTTGGCAGTGGGAGTCACAAGCAGCAGAATTGCCACCGCGAAAGCAATGGAAAACCACCAAATCTTTTTTGGTGCTGATCTCTTCATGGCCCTGTAAGAAATCGTGACAGTGTCTGGTAAATCGGTCATCATCAGTAATCAGCAATTATGAGAGGGGGAATCTAGAAGGTGGAACTCGCTAAAGTCTTCGGGCGAGCGCACGCGATAAGACGGGCCCGCGACGAACATGCCTGACACCATTTCAATTGTGCATTAATCTGAATTCTTCAACGTTTGTGAAAAAACGGTGCAAAGACGGAAATCGGGAGTTATTGAGGCAGAGGAGGCGAGGCGGGGATTCAAAAAGCGTATTCGTGGCGTTCGGAGCTTCTCCTTTCTCTCCAGGCCTCCTCGAGACTTCCGGGTAGGCTGGGAAGGCGGGAGGCTGGAACCCAAAAAAAGGCGCTAATTGGACTCTGAAGGAAAAGGCTTGCAGAGTGTCATAATTTTTTACACTAATACCTATGTCCGGTACATTGTTAAAATGGAAACGTGACATTTAATAATAAAAAAGGAAAGAGATGACAGACAGCGCCTGGCCATGAGCAGCACGCCCATTATCAGGTAACAACCCGGGCGGTCAAAAGGTTCCAATGAAAAATGTCTGTCCTTCAGCAGCCCCCTGCATGTCATACAATGTGGCCGTCCACAACCCTGGAGTGAACCTGCTCCGCATTTCAGCACGCATTATGGTCCCACCTAAGAAACCCGTACATCTCTGTCTCCCTCTATCTCGCACAGTTTCGACCTCAGCCGCACATGAAACCATCATAAATCTGGCGAAGTATTCTTGTCTTCACTATAAACATTTATGGTTTGTTTCGCTATGAGCACCGCTTCCAGTATCGTACAGTGTCTTTCTTTTTTCAAAGTTATATTTTCACAACTCAATGTGCGGCGAGTCCTCATTCTCCTCCGAAACGCTCCCGATGAGACCAGACATCTCAACTTCGTCCAAAGCGAAGCCCTTCGGATACAACTCGGGCTCCATAGTGTCAGCTTTGCTCAGAACATTGTCCCACACCCGCCACTGATGCAGGAGCTCCTCCGTATCCAAAAACATTGACCTATCCCCACTCAGCACGGCCGCCACCACCATGTCGTACGCGTTCGGCGCATTCTCCCCCGCCGTTGGCCTCAGGACCTGCCAATCAGCGGCCAGTCCGTTTTCTCCTTCATTTTCGACCGAGAGCCAGCCTGGTGGCGTCACAACAGCTGCCGGTTCTATCATTCCCGTGCAGGCCGTCCGGTTCCAAGCGATGGCGGTCCCAAACTTCCCCCCTTGAATATTGAACAAGAGCTCGCATGCACAGCCCGCCTTTGCTGCGCCCTCAGCGACTCCATCGCACAAGACGACGCGGGCGTAGCTGGTCCGCTCGTCCAGCGCTTTCCCCGCCTTGAGAGTAAAGCTGACGCCCCCCCAACGCGGGTGCCTCGAGGCCAAAGTGACGGAGGCCGCCGTGGGCACGCTGGTCCTCACCACCCGGGGCTCGGAACGTCGGTCGGACGCGACGTGGTCCAGGTAGCCTTGGTACTGGCCCACATGGATGGAGGCTCGGGACTCCCCGCCCTCGGTCTCGCCCCCCAGCACCAGCTCGCGCAAAACGGCAGTGCGGTGGTGGTGAGAGCCCAGGGAGGGGGAGGACGTGCTCTCCTTGTCCGGGGGGATGTCCATCTTCAGCAAGACCAGTACCTGCGTCAGGTGGTTCTGCAGCACGTCGCGGATGACGCCGTAGCCCTCGTAGAAGGAGGTGCGACCCTGGCAGTCCTCCGTCTCCTTCATGGACACCTCCACCGCGCCCACGTGCCGCCCGGTCCACAAAGCCTCCAGCCACCCGCGGTTGGCGCGGCGGAAGGGGAGGATAGCCTGCACCACGCCCTTTCCCATGTAGTGGTCCACACGGTACAACTCGTCCTCCGCCAGGTGCTGGCCGAGGGCGGCCGCAAGGGCCTCCGCGGAGGCGAGGTCCTGGGTGGGGAAGAATCAGGGCGAACGGGTGAGAGTTGCAGTCTGGCACGCGTTGAGGGCTGTGTCACGGTAGCTGCAGGCGACGCGCATTCGACGGGGCAGTAAAAAGGCAGACAACAGCTCCCAGTCATCCACTGAGACCACGTTCTCAATGCCAGGGGGGCCGAGACATCGCCCCCGACATGAGCCCTCCCGCGTACACTCAAGCTCTTTCTCTCTCTCGCGCGCGCACACACACATATGCCTCTATACATACAAATATATATACCATCCCCGACCCTCCACAACCGCAGCCACCGAGGCGGCACTCACCCGCCCGAAGGGTTTCTCCACCACCACCCGCACCCACGGCGCCTCCACGTCTCGGGCCCCGATCGGCCGCAGATAATCGCCAACATACTGGGCAATGCCTGCGTACAGGTCTGGCGATATGCTAAGGTAGAAGAGTCGGCCTTCCAAAGGCTTCCCTGTCTCCGCTCCTTCTCGCTCCAAACGGCGCCCCAGCTGCTTGTAGTGGTCCTCCCCCCGGAGCTGCACGTACTGGAAGCTCTTCCGGAAGGCGGACAACTTCTCCTCGCAAACTGCCAGGTCCACGTCCTGTACACATTTGCACGAGGTTGAGATGGCCAGGATATCGCTTAAAAGCTGCCTCCCTTCCTCGACCGGGCGGGTCGCGCCCCCATAAAAATGGAAATCGCGCGCAGGACCACCCGGTTTGAGCTCCTCCTCTAGGTAGGAGCGGAAGAAACTTTGAAAGAGGTACTTCTTCGCCAGGGATGATGTTGCGCCGATTAAAACAACATCCGCGCGGCGAGCACGGGGCTGAGGTGCGGGGTTTGCCATCTCCTCCTCGGCATTGAGCGGAGAAGCAGAGAGGCAGAGGAGAAAAACTACAAGAGAGGATACGAAGCGCGAACAGACGGAGAGCGTGTTTGGGAGCCACAGATTCGTTGTTCTCATTGTTTAATCTGTGCGTGCGGTGGCGAATCGCGTTAATCTATGGAATGTGAGTAAAGACAGATGCGTAACCAAGTGAGCAGCATACCAAGAGAACGTCATTAAACGAAGATCAGTGCCAGTTTGAAGGTGGAATCGAAGACATCCAGCAGGTTCGGGGAGGAAGCCATACAAATGATGTCTAAAGTCCATCCCATGAGCACTTGCTTGGCGTTGTATGGGCAAGACATGCGAGAGGGGGGATGTGAGGGTGCGTACAAAACGACCCACTAGGTCGGGGGCAACCAGTGCAAGAAAAGTATCCAGATTCCTCCGGCGCAGCCATGCCACCATCCACGTTGACAGGCCGTACGTAGACAGGCCCTCCCTAGCACTTGACTGCCGGAAGACTCCTTGCTGAAGAGCGGGACGTCGTTTGGGCAGGGTGCGGCAAGTCTGTTCTCCACTCGCTTTCCCGTCTCAGCGAATAGTGTCTGGGAGCGAACGGATGTCTGACTGCGCTGCTGCGTACATTACACCCTGTCACTGAAAACGTTAGTCAATACAATTGCCGACCTCCACTCTTACATATGCATTCAAAGCTAACAGAAATTGAACTGGCAAATTTTAGAGCGCGTAAAAAACTTCCTGTGTCAGACGCTTTTGGAAGCTCTTTCCCTCAAGGAAGCGTCTTTCTGCATTTTTTCGTACTACTGGCCCGTCTCCATTAGCTTTTAGAATACCATGGGGCAGCAACAAATATCTTGGCAACTCAAAATTGAACTTTTGGCATTGTTTTTAGCCGGATATTTTGCCAGCTTGTCGTCTGCCTTTGTGAGCCGGCCTCACGGCCCCCTTGCCCCTGTTCCATCTCGGCGGGGGACTGGAAGACGCGCCGTCTCGCTCCCGCAGGAGTTCGCTTCCCTGGACATCCTGCTGTCGGAATCGAGCCTGGACATTGACATCCCCGTCTTGTCACCGACCTCAGCATTGGAGGCGTTTGCGGTGCTGGCGGTGCCCCTCCTCCTGTTCGCAGGCCTCCAACTCACCCGTCAGGGCGAGGGGACGGGAAACACGGAGAAAGACGACCCCATCAACGACATGAGCACCAACGACATACTCAGCAAACTATTCAAGGAGGTGGAAGGGAAAGAGCCCACATCCATGTTCTCTTCCTCCGCCTCGCCCCTCGCGTCCGCCAAGCTGGATGCCCGGGGCGGGGCGGGGGGGCGGGGCCTCCTGGAAAGACCTCCAGCCCCAGCGCCTGTGGATGAGGAATTGAGATTAAGGAAGGCGAGGGCGTTGGAGGAGGACGATCGGGCCAGAACGGCGGCGGCGAGGGCCAGAGAAGAGGAAGACAAGGCCCTCATCGCGGCTGCGGCGGAGAAGGCAGCCGCCGCCAAGTCCGCCCAGGAGAAGGAGCGGCTCCGCCTGGAGGCCGCGGCGAAGGCGATGGAAGCTAGAGTCGCGGAGGAAGCGAAGGCTCGAGAGGAAGCAGCTGCGGAGGCTCTAAAGAAAAAAGAGGAGGAGAAGGAACGGGAGGAAGAGCTGCGAAGACAACGGGAGACGAGGATGAAGGAGGAGGCCGCGAAGGCCCGGGCTGCTGCGGAAGCCCGGGCTGCGGCCGCGAAAGCGAAACGTGAGGAGGAGAAGGAGAGGGAGCAGAAGCGTAAGCTTCTTGCGCGGATGATACGGGAGGATGCGGCCAAGAAGCAGGAAGAGCACGAGAAGCGTCTGCTCGAGGCATGGAAGGAGCAGGAGCTGGCCCGGCGCGCCGAACGGGCTCAAAAGGAGAGGCAGCCCACGAAGGGAGTTTCCGTGACGAGCACTGAAAGGGGAGGGGAAAGAAAAGCAGGGCGGGGAAAAAGGAAAGTAAAATCTCTGTCGACCCGGTCGTGTCCGCTGCAGTGGCTCCCGCCGAGAAGCCGATGGTGGCGGGCGAGAAGGAGGGCAAAGAGTGGGAGGAGATGCGCCGCCTTGAGGAAGAGAGCGCGAAGCTCTTAGAGTTGTCTCCCTCCGCCCGCGGCAACAAAAGAGCCTTTGTTCCCGAGGGAGAATTTGTGAAGAGGGGGGGCAGGGCTTCGGTCCCGGTGGGCGTGCAGACGGCGGACTTGGCGGAGCCCGCGATCGAGAGAAAGGTGAGCAAAGCCGAGGCAGAGAAAGAGCGGAAGGAGCTTCTCATGGGCCTGGATGCGGTGATGCAGGACCTGCAGCGACGGGCGGAGGAGAAGAAGGGGCAGCTCACAGCTGTCAGGGAGAAGAAAATCGCTGCCAGCGACCCGGCCTCGCCTCCCGGCCCCAAGAAGACCGGACGGACGAAGGGCAAAGCCGCGTCGGCGCCGGCGGCGGGAGGAGTGCCACCGACACCGGGGAAAGGCGATGATTTGACCGTAGTCGCCAGGAAGCTCACAGTGCCCAAGCTCAAGGCGATCCTGCAGGCGCAGCAGGTCAAGCCATCCTCGAGCCGTGCCAAGAAGGACGAGCTCGTGCGCCTGGTGGTCGCTCTAGCGGTGGAGAACCCAACGATCTTGGCAGAGGAGTGAGGGGGGTCAGAGCGGGCGCTGGTCGGGACGAAGAGAACAGAAAGAGGCAAGGGGGGCAAGAAGGGATGTTCTGCATGCTGTAATGCACATATACATGAAATTTGGAATCTTTGAGTGGGAAATTGCAGCGCTTAACATTGAATGCGATAAAAAAGGATTTCGAAATCGAACTCGGATCAATCGCAAGCCCGAAAGAATACTCAAAAAATCGTAAGTGCGACAATTTTTGCTGTCGTCCCGCTCGTTTCCTTACTTGCTATATACATCAATTGAGTCCCAAAATGCACACTGTTTCCTCAGGTCTCGCGGCACAGCAGTTACGTTGCCCGCGTCGAGCTGCAGAACGAGCGCACCCCCCCCCTCGTCGTCGTAAGCGGGCCACTCCACGTCCTCGCGCAGAACGCCATGCGATCCTAGCGATGGCCCCTCGCTCGCCCTCCGCACCACCGCGGTTCCAAGCCCCTCCGCTTCGCGCAACTCGAGCCTACTCGGACTCGCGCCCCCCGAGCGAACGAAGGCGCCCCAGTAGCTCCGCATCGCCCGCGCCATCGCCGTCTCCGGGCCGTTCGTTTCCCCGTCTCCGCATGGGGTCAAGCCGGGCTTGGCCCACAAGTAGGGCATCTCACTCCCGTGGTAGCAGCCCAGCTCCTCGGATCCGGGGTTGCACTCTTGCGGTTGGACGTACTGGAAGGTATAGTAATACGCCGAGGGCGGGCGCATCTCAATGTTATGTCTACGCCTCCCCGCTTGCTGCACGTGCCACACCGAAACCCCCTCAGACGCGTCCTGGCGCCCGCCTCCGTAGTGAGAGGCCAAGAACAGGCTGGGGCAGGCGTAGCGGACGTGGGCAATGATGGCCGCGACGTTCTCGGCGTTTTTCCCGTCCCCCCGGGGAGGGTAGACGCGAAGGAGCTCTTCGCGCTGGGCGAGCGATAGAGGGGGAAGGCCTTGCCCGTACTCCATCGCTCCAGTGCGCACCCAGGAGGCATAGGCCGCGTCCGTCCCGCCGGCGCCCCCCAGCCCTGTGGAGGCGACGAAGACACTGCCCTCGTCGCGGTTGCAGCCCAGGAGGACGTTTAGCGGTGACGCGGGTGCAAGGGGGGGCGTGACGGAGGGGTCGAGTAGCGTTGCGGGCGAGGCAGGGAGGAAAAGGTCGCCGTCGAGGGCGGGCGCCCAGTAGTGGTACATCTCCCGGCCCCTCTCGGAGGACTCGGGGATCAGGACCTCCAGGGAGAGACGGGTCAGGCAGGCGACCAGCCCGCCGTCATCCGCACCCTCGCTCGAGCCGTTGCTGGGGCTGCGCCTACCGGGACCCGGCCGGCACCCCAGGCCAGCCGCGAAGGTCTCTGTCCGGGTCCTCGCCTCCTGCAAGGGCAAGGCCACGCACGCTCCGCTCTCCATCACCAGGGCCTGCAGCATGGCGCGGCTCTTGGGGGCCAGCATGTGCAAGCAGGCACTAAAGGCTCCTGCTGACTGCCCCGCCAATGTGACAGCCTCTGCGTCCCCCCCGAAGAAACCGATGTTGTCGCGGACCCACTCTAGGGCCAGCTGCTGGTCGAGCATGCCCAAGTTGCCATTCCCAGGCAAGGTCGGGTCTGTCAGGAACCCGAGGGCCCCCAATCGGTAATTGATAGTGACAATCACGATGCCCTCTTCCGCCGCGAGGGAGCTGCCATCTAAGAGAGGGGAGTCGATGCCTCCTTCAGTAAAGGAGCCGCCGTGGATAAAGACCATCACGGGCATCGGGCTCCCCGGAGAGGCAGGCCGAAAGACGTTCAGCAGGAGACAGTCCTCCGAGCCCACTACAACGCCATCGCATAGCTGAGGGCAGCGCTCCTGCGGCATGTGCCCGCTTGCGTCAAATTGTGCGAAGCCTTCAGGCATCGTGGAGGGCTCCGCCCACGAGGGTTGCCCCCGCTTCCAGCGCTCGACGGGCCTTTGGGCGTATGGAATGCCCCAAAATTGATCAGAACCGCATTTGCTTGAAAGCCCTTGTATTTCCAAACCCATGGTCGGAACCCGGATCGTGATAATGTCATCGGCAGTGACATGGGGAATGTTCAAACAGGCGTGGAGGAGGACGGGGAGGAGGAATGCAGCGGGTGGGCGCATCGACTTAGGAGGACGGTGCATTTTTATCGGCCGCCTCCATGCCCAAAGGCGTCCTGTGCTGTGAAGTGTCCATTCTATGTGTTTGTCGTGATAATAAAAGGAATCTACGGGAGACAAGCACGGCCTTGTCCTTATTGAGCAGTGCAAGCGCCCGCCTCGTCACTAACGAGGGACTTGAAGCACGTCGCGTGATTGTAAACCGGCCTATTTCTAGAAGTGCACGAGAAGGCGAGCATGCGCTTTCCTTGGTACCTCAACTAAGCCGTGCATAATGTATCATGACGACAGGAGGGAAATGTACGGGCTAGGACGCGCGTCCGTACCTTATCTTTTTTTTAGCCGCCTCCTCCTCCTCCTGTACCCCCCCGGCGCCTCATCTTTCCTGCCCTCCTCCCACCCCCCACCGACACACCTACCTGTTACCGTCACCCTCGCTGTGGGAGACGCCGCGCCTGTCGTAGGTCCGTTGCCATCACCAGGGGTGGCTTGTCGCGCCCCCCCGCGCTCGAAATTCCTCCTTCTCTTCAAGGGCGGCGCCGCGGACAGTGGCGATCAAGGCACATCCCTGGCATGCCTCCGAGAGGCAGAATTTCGAGGCCTGGCCTACCGAGAGCTGCAGGACCTGGACGCGGTGGCGGCTCTACGATTCGAAGATGCCTTGAAGACTGACCTGTCCCTTTCAGGAGGGCGTCGCAAGGCTGATAAGAATGAGGGAAGGGGGAGGGGCTGCTCCTCCTCGTCCTTGGTGTATGTGCACGGTCTTCCCGACGACGGAAAGGTCATGCAGGCGATTGTGCAGAGCGCAGTCTTGGTACACGCCGCCTACGCGGTGTGGGCCTGTGCTCCCGCCTTCTCCGAGTGCGCGGACGTGGCGACTCGCATGCTTCTTGAGGACGCGCGCTTGAGCTCTCTGAGGGCGAACGCCTCCTGGGCGGCAGAGAGCTACGTCTTCAGTGCCAAAAGCGGGCGACGAAAGGATGTGGCGCTCCTTCCACAGAAACTGTACGAGATGAGGCACTTCTTGAGGCAGGTGCCCGGCCCCGTAGACCTCAAAGCTCCCGACGTGCGCTTGGTCCTGCTCGAGGACGGCGACGCGGAGGCCGGGGCGCGGCCACACCAGGTGTGGCTCACGCGAGAGATCGCCCGAGGATCTCGGGGACTAACAGAGCGCTTGTCTCTGAGGCGGCGGCCGTACGTGACGACGACGAGCATGGAGCCGAAAGCCAGCCTTGTCATGTCCCATGTGGCGGGCCTCCGGGAGGGCGACAAAGTCTGCGACCCGATGGCGGGGGGGGGGGGGCTCCTGCTAGCAGCTGCCCAGCTCGGAGCCCAGGTGACGGTGGGAGTCGACGTGAACGCCAGCATCGACATCGGTCGCGTCACCGACAACTTCCGCGTCCTGGGCCTGAGACCTCCCGAGGACTTCCTTTTCGGGCGCGCGGACGACCCCAAGGTCCACGCACGCCTCCGACGCTGGGGCCCTTTCGACGTCCTGGTCGTAGATCCTCCTTATGGAAAGAGGGAAAAGGGGCCTGTTCGCGCGGAAGGTGTCATACAAGAAGCCGTCTACACGCTCTATGAGCTGGCATCCAAGGACGAGATCCTGCGGGTGGGGGGACGCCTTGTCTTCTTCTTGCCCATGGACCCCAGGTGGGCATCGCGGGACATCGTTCCGTTGCTGCCGACGCACCCGTCTCTGGTCATCGTCAGCATTTCGAGGCAACCTTTGAACACCAGGTTGGATCGGTATTTGATCGCCTTGCAGAAAACCCAAGCTTCCCGCGAGGGAGATAGAGTTATTGCGCCACGGGAAGAAATGGAACGTGGAGCTGCGGATGACCTGTCATACATTGATGCAAAAGTCCCATCTTGTACTTGGCATTATAAATAGAGCGTTACGAATAGTTGTGTAGATCAAGGCTGTAAAAAGAAAGCATTTTTCCAAACGTGAGACCGCCAAACTGCCTTACGTTTCTTTTACCGCACCCTTGAACAGCCGCTGCTTCACGCATTCATAGACAACGACTAATTCTGACATGGTAGAGAAGGTGAAAGGGCGGATAATATGAGCTATGCGTCTCGCGACTCCGCGTTTGCCCAACAACCCACCCCAACGGTTCCCTCTTCACTTGGCGGGGGGGGGGGAGGAGGTTAAACTTCCTTCTGGCCTGGACACTAATTCTGTCCCATCATTATTCAAAAAACTTACAGACCGGTCATGGCGCGGGCGAGTGTGTATCGAAGATGGAGAATGTTGTCAGTTGGGAACAAGTATGCGCCCAGCATCCCGACCCTTGGAGCGTGCTTTCAGTACACGCTTTCACCACCAGCCAGAGTATGGCGTCGACATCACTCGATCAGGGCTTCCTGCGTATCAAAGCCCTTTTCCACAGCCGCCCCGTTTGTGATCCCGGCAACACCAGGCCTGTTTGGAGTGACAGGCCTTCGTCACCCAGAGGACTTTCTGCGTCTGGCCCGGGAGTCTGTGAGCCGCTGCGAGAATTTGAAGCACGGCCTTCTCACAGGGCGCGTCCCAGCGGGGGTTGATGTCATCCGCGACATGGACGCAATTTCAAACACTCTTTGCATCGCGATCGATGCCGCGGAGCTTGCTCGAAATGTTCACTCCGAAGAAGCTTGGAGGGAAGCCGCTGAAGAGGCTTTCGCGGGTTTGTCAGGCTATATTCACGAATTGAACACCGACGTTGGTTTGTATCAAGCCGTGTGCTCAGTGGTGAAGGATCCTCATGTGGCTGCGACGTTAGATGAGGAAGGAAGTCGGACAGCTCAGCTATTAAAGGCGGAGTTTGAGAGCAGTGGCATTCACTTGCCCGATTTGGAGCGACAAGAAGTGCGGGCGCTTCTGAATGAAATCACCAGCTTGGAAACTATGTTCAGCAACAACCTCATTCTCGGCCGTCGCTCATTCCAGGTCAGCAAATCTGATATCCTTGCGCAGATTCCTTCGGAGATCGTGCAAAACGTGATACTTCCCCACCAGCCGCCGGGGCAGCCGCCACACCTCCTCACTCTCACCACGGATACAGCCGTCGCCAATGCCGTCCTGCGGTACGCGCGGGACGGCAATTTGCGGCGGCGTATGTATCAGGAGGTAAATACGAGTCCGCGAGAGAATTTGGAGGTGCTTTCGCGTCTCATCAAGTCGCGCGACACTCTGGCCAGGAAGCTTGGGTTCCCAAGTTACGCCCATCGCTTCCTAGCCGACAAGATGGCGAAATGCCCCGAGGAAGTGGACCGTTTCCTTCGTGCCCTGGCCGAAAATGTCCGAGCCAAGGCGGGGAAAGAGTTAGAGGTCTTGCAACGGGCAAAGCAGGAAGACGAAGGCGGTTGGGGGGACAGCGCGGATTTTCACAGTTGGGACCTGTCTTACTATATGGGTGCTGTCAAGTCTGCCCGCCACGGCGCCAGCACCGATGGAAAAGGTGTCTCCGCCTATCTGTCCCTCGAGAACTGCCTACGAGGACTCGCTCTTCTCTCCCAGCGCCTGTTCGGGATAGAGCTGCGGGAAGTAGCTCTCGACGAAACAGAGGCCTGGGCGCCCGCTGAGTCGAAGTTGAAAAAAGTGGTCTTGCTCCACCCCCGGCACGGACAGCTCGGAACCATCTATTTAGACCTCTATCCCCGCCAGGCTAAGTACACGCACCATGCGCAGTTCACGGTCCGCTGTGGCTGTCTTCCCGCTGGGGCTTCCTCCTACCAGCTCCCCGTGGTGGCCCTGGTCTGCAATTTCTCTCCGTGCGACCCCGCCGGGCCCGTCCTTCTCACGCATGCCGAATTGGAGGCGCTCTTCCATGAGTTCGGGCACGCTCTCCACTCCTTACTCTCCCGCACGCGCTTTCAGCACGTGGCGGGGACCAGGGCCCCCGTCGATTTCGTGGAAACCCCAAGCCACTTGCTCGAGTATTTCGTCTGGGATCAGCGCGTGCTCGCCCAGTTCGCGCACCACCACCAGACGGGACGGCCCATCCCCGCCGAACTCACAGCTGCCTTGCGGGCAGCAAAGAGGGAGTTCTCGGGGCTGGACACCCAGATCCAGGTCTTATACTCCCTTGTCGATCAGAAGCTCTTCGGACCGCAGCCCCTGGCGGAGGACCCGACCACCTCGGCCTTCCTGGCCTCGGTGCAGGAGAAGGTGATGCAGATGCCGCACTCGGAGGGGGCGGTCTGGCATGCTCGATTCGGGCATCTGACAGGGTACGGGGCGGGATACTACGGGTATCTGTACGATCGAGTCTTTGCCTCCCACTTGTGGGAGAGGCTCTTTGTGCAAGACCCCTGGAGTAGAGAGGCGGGCGAGCGCCTGTGGAAAGAGATGCTAGTGCACGGGGGTGGGAAGGATCCGTGTCATATACTCAGGGACGTGCTGGGGGAGGAACCAGCATTGGACAGTTTTCTCGCGGAGCTAGAGGATGAAGGGGAAATAGAGCATAGGGCGTAGCTGAAGGGGAGAGGGGGAAATAGAGAATGTGGCATTTACAGGAGTGGAGGAG